ATATATCCCAGCTATTTTGTTGCTTAATTCAGGGCATGCGAAATGATTTGGCGGAATCCAGAACGGAGGGCTAAGGAGCTCCTCCGCTCCACCACCGTCTTAGAGCCATTCTACGTCGTCACAATCAGCCTCCTCAGCCTCTTGCTTCCCCTTTCCTTTCTGCTTCTATCCAGGTTTTCTTATGTTCACTACCTCTTCCTCGTCACCGCCACTCCGTTTCCCGTCCACCCATCTTTCTCCTTAAATTTCTTCCTCACCATCCCTGCTGTTCTCTACGTTCCTGTTACAACAGTTAGTGTATCTGCTCTCGTCCACGGCTTGACTGGAAAAATCACCTTTGCAAGTGAGTCGCCGGTCGCTGCTTACCGCCCCCGCCTTTTCGCCACATGGATCATCCTCTGTGTTTTGCAAGTCTGTGTAGGTTTGGGAATTGAAGGAAGCATAGAGGCTGGAGTCAACGGCAGCGCCGCCGCCGCCGCCGCAAACTTAATTGGTGTCAAGAGGAGCCTGTTCAGTAGAGTGATATTCTTCTTGGGTTTACATGAGTCCATGCTTCTTTGGTTCAGAACCATTGTGAAGCCCATTGTGGATGACACTATTTTCGGTGTTGTTAGGGAGGAGAGTTGGGTTCAGAGGGCGACGGTGGCCGTTAGCTTAGGTAGCTTGTGGTGGTGGAAGCTGAGAGACGAGGTGGAGGGTCTGGTAGTTGGTGCGGAGTCTAAGATAGAGATGGCGATGGGCATGGAGGCAGTTGACCTTGTTGGGTGGTGGTTGTATTACGTAACCGTGACAATTGGGATGGTAAGACTGGTCAAAGTTGTTATGTGGCTTGGCATGATTTTTCTCTTTGAAAGGGTAAGAATTAGGAATTCCGACCAAACTAGTAACGGTGAAGGCAAGGTATGAAATGGACAACCCCCGGCTTTCTATTTTTCTTTCAAAACGACTCATTGAGAATAATGTTTATACATATACACATTGCTAATGTTTGATGATAATAAAATAATCTAAATTTTTGTCATAATATATGTGTAATATCAAACAAGTGGATGCATATATATATATATATATATTATTTTGGTTGCACAATAGAAAGCAATCATCTCTCATTTCTTATCCCACCACATCCTACCCGTATGCCATACAACTCGAATTTAAAATCTTTTACTTTCAATGGAATGCAATAATCACTAAATTACTTATGTTATTGTTAGTGAATGCATATCTTTATACACATTTGCTAAGCATAAAAATAATAAAAAATATTGTCAATGATAGTTGTGAAGATTTATTATTAATAAATATTGTCAATGATAGTTGTGAAGATTTATTATTAATAAATATTGTCAATGAATTTTTTTTTTTCATTTCTACCAAATATTCTATGTAAATAATTTTTATAGTCGTCAATGGAGATGTTAATTGCATCTTCTTTCTTAATTATTAAAGGAAAGTGAAAATCATGATCTCTTGACATTTGAAATATTATAATTATTTATTCTTTTATTAAAAATATTTAAATCTTTTTATTATTAATTTTCACATTTTAATTATTAAAATATCATAATGTTTTCCTCGGTATCAAATGTTATTATCCTAATTGTTAAATGTTAGTCCCAAATATTCTTACTTCTTCCTTAAAAATAAGTAATCATCTCTTGTAAAATACGCCGTGCAAAAAGCAAAAGGGAAAACAAAACAAAATCATCTCTTTTCTCCTAGAAATAGTGAGAATATTATAATTACAATGGCATATA